TCACTTCCTTTAGCCTGGTTGGGAGCTCCAGAATGCAATATCAGAGTTCCAGGTGTGCCTTACTTAGTTTAGCACTGTACTGTAGGAGTTTGCCTGCAACGCTCCCAACTATCAAGTGGCCACTAGGGGGCAACAGACTCCTTTGCAAGGCCCTTTCCACTCTTGACAGGGCTGAGATCTGCTCGCCTTCTCCCAAGTCCTTTCCCAATAGCACATATTCCCTTACTGTAAGCCCAGACTTGCCCAAGGAATCACTCTTTCCCAGGAATCACCAACTGAGGCTCTTTAGTTCTGTGCAAATTGTTCAAGGGCTCCTTTTCTTAAATGATTAAACTTTTGGGGCTAGATGGAACTGTTCCTTCCCTCCCCACCTCCCATTCCAAAACCTTTAACTCAGCTATGGCATTATTCATGCAATAAAATACTTCCTGTAACTGCCAGCTCCACAGTCTGAAGGACTGAAGCTACTTCAGTCCCCAGCCACTCAGCCTAGAAAGGGCTGCCTCTGCAGGACGTCCCACAGTTTCAGCAACTCCAAGTCAGCTTCTTTGTTCTGCCAAGAGCTGGAGCTGCAGCATTCAACCCTCTTCGGTGTGCAGGAAAAGCAACAGGACCTGCTAGCAGCCTGCCCTACCTCCATGTACTGTTCAAGTACCCCTAGTTCTCTTATATTCCGCCCACTACCACCCAGCTAAGCTGCTACCCAGTTTCCTGATCAAACAACAACGTCTTGAGTTTAAATTTTATTTTACAAAAAGAGAAATAAAGAAAACTGATAGGCAGTTATACTGACTTACAATTGTTCTGTTTGCTTTTTTTAAAAAAGTGACACGAAACACAAGTAAAAATAAATACGTCATAGAAACAGCCAGTTGCCCAGTCTCTGGGGCAGAATGTGCCTGCCCTGCTGAGAGAGGGAAGCCCGTGATCACACCAGCAGCTGGATCACCCAGCCACAGATGGTCCTCTAAGCCAGGCACAGATCCTGGGCCTTCAGGGGTGTCCTGAGCAAAGAAGACAGAAAACTAAAGCCAGATACCAGGGCCTTGGGGCAAACTCGCCTCCTCCCCTCTCCCCCAACTCCTCTGGCAGCAGTGTGGCCTTAGTGGTTTTCCATTGCAACCCCTTCAACCCACCTGGACCCTCTCTCTGACCCCTCTGAAGAGGGTACAAGGGAAAAACTTGTCTTGGGCAGGCTGGAGGGATTCTTCTGGTGAGTCTCCAGCCTACCCTGAGTTACACAACCAGTTAACAGTCATTTTACACCACAGTGCACATGAGCACACACATGCAGACGCATACACACACTCACTCAATCACAGCTGGGCTGAACTCTTTTCCAGGGAGGGTCCTGGGTCAGGTCACAGTATGAGGTCCCCTCTCATCTGAACATCATCCTAGTAGTGGTAGCAGAGTGCCCAAGCCTCCCTCAGCCCTCTACGTTGTAGATTATGCAGCCTGCCTAGCTACCTCTCCCCAGCACACTAGAAGACGACTATAGCAAACAGACTCGTGGCAGGGGAAAGGTGCAGACTTGGGTCCCTGAAAAGCAAAGAGGGTGGACACTGCTCAGTTCACCATTACAGGACTCAGGTATAGGCCTACAGCCAAGCTAATGGCACAGAACAGACACAGGGATTACAGCAATTTGAATACACAGGGGCAGAAGAGTCCGTGGAAATGAAACTGAGTCTGCCAGTGAGCAATGGACAGCACAGCATTTTCAGACCGGCCTTGAGGTGCTGATTTCCTGGGAATTAGTCAGCAGAGAAGCCACAGTCATCCTTTGTGGGGAAGGGTGACTTCTCTCAGCAGCTGTGGTGGGGAGACAGCAACCTAGTTGAATGCACAGAAAGCCATGGCTCATGGTCATGTAGAAACCATAGGGAAGTGGGAAGCAAGAGTCTATCTAAGAACAAGGAATGTAAAGCCTCCAGAAAACCTTCCCCAGAGGGAGGGGGACTCAGTTCCAGAGCAATGAATGTCAGGCTTAAAGATACTGACTGCTTGCTACCGGCACTTCAGCAAAACATGCCCCAGCTCTTTGCTTCATGCTCCCAGACTGGGAAACTTCGTTTTTAGTTGTAAGTCACACATATATAAGCTACACATTAATTCCTAGAAAACAGTTCCAAGGGCCAGACAGAATTATCTTTAAGCCAGGAAACAGTATACTAACTCAAAGGGGTGAGGGCTTCAGAGATAAGTCATCAAGAAGGATCTGACCCAGAGACATAAGAAAAGGGAATCAAGTATCTCAAGTGTCATCTTGCATCATTTAGTAGTGTTCCCTAGAACAAGAATTTAGAATCCACCAGAGTGATTAGACTTGAGAGACCCTTAAAAACATTCCATGAAAGACAAACAGAGAGAAAATGTATAAGCCTGTCTCTCTCTGCCTTTCCCCTCTGCACAGGGTCTCACTGTGCATGTAGACTAAGCTGATCGCCCTGCCCACTTACCACCAAGTGTTTCCAATCTCAGTACAGTATGACCTGTAAGTGTCCTGCTCCCCTCATCACATGTTCGCTGTGCATGCATTCATTTGCCCACTAGCCCACAGGAAAAGCCAGGTGTTTTAGATTTGCTGGGTGGGAGGTACCGGTGCCAAAGCCCAGGGGATTAGTAGGCAATTCAATCTCCCATGATCTCCCTCCCACCCCTACAATAGAAGCTGCACATTTTCACAAAAGCCTTCTTTAACCAGGAGCCTTGCCTAGAGTTAGCCTCGGCCAAGATGATTTGAGTTCCAAGCCCTGGAATGACAGTGGGTAAAGCAGACACATGCTACCTCTCAGAATACCCATTTACTTCTGGGCAGCTTAAAAACCAACTGGATTCAGTTCCCTACTGAAATAATTTCTAGTGATTTTCTGTCTGTGAATCACCCATTTCCCTGGCTGGAAGGGCATACATACAGACACAAAAGTCCAGAGCTCTGTGTTCCAAGGTCTGAGAGGCATCCATGTAACACACACACAGACAAACAGACACACACAACTCTGGGAGTTCAGTGTTCCAAGGTCTGAGAGGCATCCATGTAACACACACACAGACAAACAGACACACACAACTCTGGGAGTTCAGTGTTCCAAGGTCTGAGAGGCATCCATGTAACCCAAGTTCTGTGTGTGTTCTTTAAATTATAGAGATCTGGACTAGCTCACTCCCACTGCACCAGCCTCAACCTGAGAGTTCACTCCAATTCAAATGCCTTGACTATCCATTCTTGGGCTACATTTCAGAGAAAGCACTGGTTGGAACTGCTATTTTCCAATTATTAAAATAATTGCATAGCTAAATTGTAGATCTAAGGCTTCTATGAGTAGAATAGTTAAGTGTCTAACAGGGTGTGTATGAAAACAGAGAAAGGTCCACTTTTGGTGTTACTGGACAGTACACACACACACACCCCATCAGCTAAATTTCCTTGTCTCTCTGAAAAAAAAACCCTATAGGGTCTGCCTTGAAGCTCCCTCCTTCCCCCAACAATGGAAATTGCTAGTCAAGAGTCACAGGAGGCAGATTTAGCAGTTGCCCAATCAGGTTGGAGCCACAGGCAGGTGGTAAAGGCAGGCATCATGTTTGCTATTCACCACAAAGAACTGCCTGGAAAACTTCAGGATGGGGTGGGGGGCTGTAAGACAGTATACACCAAGAAAACAAGCCAGTGTTTATATATAAACACTAGATACCCTGCTCCTGCATTTGGAACAAGGAAAGAGACCAGAATAACCCATGTATTCTTTTTAAAAACAGAAGCCAGACTTAAGACTCCTACAGAGGAAGGGCTTCCCCATGACCCTTCAAAGAAGGGAGGGAGGCAACAGAAACCAGGTCCATACTTATCACCTGATAGGTTGGGGAGGCCAAGACAGTTCCCAACTGGTAATCAATAGTTCATTACCTCAACCCAGCAGCTACCTATCCAGCTTCACAATTCAGCAGAGAGAACTGGCCTGTAAAATCATCATAGAAGACAGCAGTTCCAAATGTGGAGGTTACCTACTTCCCAGTAGCAAAGTCCATGATCCCAAGTTTCAATTTCTGTGGAATGAGTCTCACCACCCCCAACCAGCCAGTCTCAGGGCTCCCTGATTTTCCTGAGAGGCCACCTACACACAACACCGTTGTTTAATCTAACTCTTAGTTAATTCTAATTCTCTTTCCCTAGTCAATTAGTTCACCATCCATCTGGGACCTTTTTTTTTTTTTTTTTTTTCCTTTTCTTTCTTTCTTCCTTTTTTTTTTTTTTTTTTCTTTTTCTTTTTTTCTTGTACCAGCAGCTAGGGGGTCTGGAATATCTTAGAACTTCCTTTACTATCTCCTATCTTCCTTATAACCTCCCCCTACCATCCCTACCCAAAATGAAAATAAATAATTTCCCATAAGAAATAAATTAACATGGAGCTCTCTAACAGGGAGGGAAAGAGAAAAAGGCCACCAGCATGGGCAGCCTAGGGGCTTAGTTCTGTCTGGTGAAGAACTTCTTTTCTAGCCACAACATATAACCTCACCCTCACACTGTAGTGCACTTCTAGCCTGTGTAGAAAAGGACATCTGCTCAGAGATGGCTACTGCAGAAAGCCAGAGACTGGAAATGCTCATGTCCTCATGATTTCCCCTCAAGTTACAAATGTGGCTCTGAAAACTAGGGACTCACCTGGCCTAGATCTTCACCTATCTGGAAGGAAACTGATGCCCATGGCTCTTCTCCTGGACTCACTTTGATGTTCAACTTAATAGCCATAAACCACCACACTCTGATTTACACTTCAAAAAAGATAAATTCATTTCTTTCTAAGTTTACCTCAGTTTCCCCTCCCTTCCCTTCCCCCTGCTTTCACCCATTCTGCTACATTCTCTCTCTCTCTCTCTCTCTCTCTCTCTCTCTCTCACACACACACACACACACACACACACGGTCTGCTTCCTTCCAACCTTCTAAAAAAGATACCACTTATTGTGGAATCTTAGTCTGCTACCCACGCCTGCCCTTATCTCCCCTACTCTCCCTCCTCCCTCCCATCCCCAGGCCAAACGAAGCCACTCAGTAAGGCAGCTCTCTTGGGAGAGATGTTCCCAAAGGCAGAATGGGATATGAGCTTATACACTCAGATGGGCAAATAAGCAGACAGCATAAGCAAGGCAGGAAGGAAGAGGCAAGTTGCCCTACCCCTCCATCCCTGTTTTCGGTCCCTGATTTCCCACTATTGTGGCTCTGTTGGGGTTCTTTGTTATTTTGTTTTGTTTTCTTCTAATGAACAGCAATAGAGCTCTGCCATTATGGCCAACCACTCCTTTTTGTTTTCTTTTCCCTCCTGCCAAGTACCCTATTTTCAGAAAGACCAGGTTCACTGCCTTCCAGTTTGGTGGGTAACCTGCTAGGGGCCCCAAGTGAGGTGGGAAGGGGCTTCCTCACTATTTCCCAGTGACCTCTATCACATCATCATCTTTATCCTCATCATCATTGGAGCTGAACCCCACCTCGGCAACCTCATGGGAGTCAAATGGAGGCACCTGGGACCGGAGGAGACCACCAGCTGGGTAGCCTGCATGTGAGGACATATAGCCTGGGTAGACAGACATGCCCCGAGAAAGGTTACTGGGCAACACAGGGGAAGGGAAAGGCGCAAACATCCTCGGCTCTGATAGGAGTGGCTGTGAGAATGGGAGTGAATAGCTGGGTAGTATCCCTGGCACAGAGGGGTTGAGCATGAAGGAGGGGTTGCTGGCAGTGACTGAGGTAGCCGTGGAAGAGGAACTGACAGGGCCTGCTGGCACCAGAGGGTCAGTAGTCACTGGGAAAACCAGGCGGGCATCTGCCAGCAAATTGGACAGCTGGTAGTAGGAGGGGTTATTGCCCATAAACAGGGAATTATCCCCTGCCTGGGAGGTGAAGGGGGCGGTGAGGTTATGATTTAAGGAGACGGGTGGCATGGCAAACCCGCCAGAGACTGGATACCCGTGTTCATAGGGCTGCACGGGGGCTGGCAGATGGCCCTTCCTGGACCGCCGACGGACTGACTCCTGGGTGACAGATGGAGTAGCCAACTTTCGCTTGTGGCCTCTTAAGTCCAGCACTGGGTGCCTGCCACCACTGGGCTGGCCAGTCACCAAGAGGGAACTATTGAGGCAATGACCCCCAAGGCATGGCTCAGTTCCAAGAGCTGTCCCAGGAATGGTGCTACTGTCCATAAGTTGGGCCGGAGGGCCAGGCAGGGTGGTACTGATGCTTGGGGAGTTCTGGCGGGATTCCCGAGCAGCAGCCACATCTGCATACTGCTGGAGCTCACTGATGATTTCTGGGCTGTCAGGAGAGACGGGCCTGGCCAGCCCCTCAGGGTCAGGGGCTTTGGGTGATGAGGCACTGTGTCTGCCATTGCTTGTGGATGCAAGAGAAGGCCCCTGGGAACCTGGAGATAAAATACAGGTAACTGAAACCAGAATGAAAAGGAAAAACAATTCCATTAAGAATAAATCTTGGCTGATCCTACATTCAAAACAGCTGGACAAAACAGCCCTATAGTCTACAGCCAGGATATCTGAATCTTCTTCAAATCCCTCATGACAGCGCCCCTTACCAGCAGGAAGTAGTTTGGAAAGAACGACGCCCAAATTCCCAAATATTGTGTATAAATGTTTGTTTTCATTTAATTGGACTTTGTTATATATATATAAAAAAAAAAAGAATAAGTCTTGTAGTGTGGTCCCCAAGTTCTCATTGTTTGATATTTAAACACCATCCAGTCAGCTTTCCCCAGTCACAAAGACAGAGTCTTTTCATTCCAGAAACAAGTTGTAATGGTTAATTCTGACTGTCAACTTGACCATGACCAAGAATCACCTAGGAGACAAGTCTCTGGGCACCGCTGTTAGGGAGCTTCTAGATTAAGTTAACTGAGGTGGGAAGGTTCATCTAACTGTGGGAGCAGTGTCCTTCCATGTGTGAGTCAGAATAAAATGGAAGACAGTGAGCTGAACGCTGCCATTTATTACTGTTTCCTGACTGCACATAGGCTCAGCTTCTGCTGCCATGACTTCCTTCTGAAATGCAGTTCCTTGAACTGTAAGCCAAAGTAAACCTTTTTTCTAAGTTTCTTCTTGGTAGGTAAGTGGGTTGTCACAGCAACACAGAAACTAATGCACAAGCCTAGCCATGAAAGGATATGTAAACTTTCTGCACCTTCCTCTGTCTGAAAAATTTTACAAAGTAAATACTATGAAACACTGGGAAATTCTTCCCCTTTTTGGAAACCAGATCTCTTATGTATAGGTGGCTAGCCTGGAATTCACTATGTAGACTAGGCTGACCTCAAACTCACAAAGATCTGCCTGCCTCTGTCTCTGCTTCTAAATGCTGAATGCTGGGATTAAAGGTTTGCACCACCATGACCAGTTGGAAATTTTCCTTAAAACTAACTAGTCATATTTTTTTCTGGGGGCAACAGAAGGTATAAAAAGACACAAATGAAGTTAAAAGACAGCCTATCTAAGTTTAAGACAGAGCAAAATATAGCTATAAAAAGCAATTTGGAAAAATAGGAAATCTGGATAAAAAGTTGAATATTATGATGTAAGATTACAGAGTTATTGTTAGTTTTTCTTTTAGTATGTTTATGATGTAGCTAGGATGTGAATGTCCTTAATCTTACTACATACATTCATACATGTATATATATTTATGGATTAAAATAGAATGGTATTTTCAGCTTACAAATAATTCACATAATAGAAAGGCAAGGGAAGACAGAAGGTTAATGGGGAATTAATCCTTAGGTCTAGGTGCAGGGAATACAGATACCCAATACTTCCCTTCTTCCAACCCACAAGTGAAAGCTAGAACAGCACAGCCAGGGGCAGTCTAGCTCTCTCATCTTAGTGGTAGGATAATACATGAAAACCACTTCTATTCAGGAGAAATTGGCAAGAGCCCATAACATTGTTCATGTGCCATGGATACACCTTGCTCAAAAATTCTGCTTCTGAGAGTGTATCCCACAACTACACCCACAAGCCAGTACTAATAACCTAAATGTAAATCAACAGTAAATTTTCACCGAGGCAAGACTAAAACAAAGGACAGGAAATGAGCTATCACTAGTGAGTGGAAAAAAGGAATAAAATATAATACATTAGCATTTGCTTTTAAAATGCAAAGAAAAACTATGCATTTAAAATGCACAGTCACATTTGTATGTACACACAACCCTTTACCATGTATGGAATATCTTTAACAAAGCAGAGCAGACCTCTAGGGAGGACCAAGGAGGATTGGGAGGAGGAAAGAAAAACTTATTTTTCATCACCTATCTCCTTCTTGTGTTCTAAATTGTTGTGTAGACCAATAGAGAGTAAAAGGCCACCACACCTGAGGCAGCCATCCGACCATCTTCAGGGGCCTTTGGTTTGCCAGTCGCCCGGACAGCAAAGATCCGTCCATCACTGGTGCGGATGTATGTCCCTAAGAGATACGAGACAGACTATCAGGAACCTGCATGAAATATAGCCAGCCACGACAAACTGCAGGCACCACAGGCTGTGAAGTGCCTACAAAATTAGATCTCAACCCCATCCCACAAGACCCCTGCAATAAGAATAGGATTCATAATGACGCATCCATTCTGTAAATATTGATTGCAGAAAGGGGCTTGCTTCGTGGACCTTAACCTCTAGGTAATTACTCCACAAAGTCAAAGTACCAAAACAATGGAAATAGTAAACAGGTCCTGTGAAAAACAAACCCAGATCATCTTCTTGGTCTGGAAAATGGACCCTTATGCTTCAGTATCCTCTATTGCTTGGTTGGGTTAATTCAAGACCTGGAGTTTATTCCTAAAAGGCACTAACCTGCCTTGTTCTTCTCCAGTCCCAGGAGATGTGACACCCTTTTCTGGTCTCACTGGCACCAGGCACACATGTGGTGTACAAACACAAATGCAGGCAGAGCACCCACACAAATAAATTTTTTAAAAATTAAAAAAATCTTTTTATTGCATTTCTTTATTGTGTGTATGCAGGTGTGTGCCAGGGTGGAAGCAGTTTGCTTCTTCTATCATGTGGGACCCAGGCTTGGTGAAGAGTGTTTTTACCTGCTGACTTGTCTCACTGGCCTTCCATCTCTTTCTTAAACTGCATTATCATTTCTTGTCAAATAAAGTTATTTTGGAAAAGAAAATTTGAATTTCTATAATTTCCATATCATAAAATATTATTCTTGACTTTTCCCATTTTCCACTAATTAAAAATATAAAATACAGCCAGGCAGTGGTAGCGCATGCCTTTACCCCAGTGCTTGAGAGTTCAAGGCCAGCCTGGTCTACAGAGTGAGTTCCAGGATAGCACAAAGCTATGAAGAGGAACCCTGTCTCAAAGAGCCCCCCTCCCCAAAGTAAAATATACCATCGATTTCAATTATAGTACTAGAAGCAGGCTAGACATGTCACACTTAGCTCAGCCCGCCAATCCCTACTCCAAGGAGAGCACAGTTAAATAAGGCTGGGTTGAGTCATCTGTGTCTGTGAAGTCTATTCCCCCTGTGGTACTATTCCCCTTGATCCAATGAAGACTAGGGCAAATCTTCCCAAACACAAAGACTCAAGCAGTCTCATAAGGGATGGAACTTAGTGACAGTCTATGAGGGCTGGGTGTGGGACTACATACAACACAAGCATCAAATAAAGAACACTATTAAGACCATGTTTTTCATTCCAGTGACATCGTCTTCCTCTGTAAGAATGCTAGAAACACACTAGGCTGTTATTTATTGGGTTTGTTTGTTTGGTTTGGTTTGGTTTTTTTTTGACACAGAGTCTCACTACATAGCTCTGTCTGTCCTTGTATTCACTATAGACGCCAGGCTGTCCTCTATCTCACAGCCAAGTACTGGGACTAAAGGCATACACCACCATGCCTGGCATCATATTGGGCTTTTTAAAGTTGACACACTAAAAATTCTGTTGTACAACCCATCTACACTAATTCATGTACAGTACATATTTCCTAACTTGGGACCACCACCCTGGCTCAAAGGAACTGTGTATAAACGACAGCACACGTTTGCTTATAGGCCATTCCACAACTGTTTCCCTCAGTTTTGGTAACTATATATCTATGCATATTCACCCCAAGATTTTCCATTAAAAAAAAAAACAAAAGATACAGAAACATGGGAACCCCACTTTCCTTCTTTTAAGTCACTGACAGGTACCCTCTAAGTTCAATGTCAGCTCAGAGATAAGCATTCTCATATGTTTCTCCCATCTGTGAAGCTCTTATGGGATGATGCCTATGCCCTCTCTAGCTTAAACCATAAGTATTTATTCTGATTCTCAGTTTGGCACTCAGACAAAGGCCCTTGGCTAGGCTCTCACCTTTCGTCCCCCGGATGATGTGGATGCTCTCACCAGCATTGATTCTTGCCTGAACATCTGTGGAGCTGTTGAGTCCAGGAATAACAATATCTAGTGAGAAACAGACCTTGCATTTAGATGACACAGGGCTTGAAGAAAAGAAGGAAACAGAAAGTCTCACATCCAACCCAGGTCCTAAATAGTGTCCCACAGCCTTTCTGTAGAGCTAGAATCAGAAAAGGTTGAACAAGTAGATCTTTACAACTGTCTCATCAAAGAATACTATGATAATCAAAGGTGCTTTGAAATCTTGTCATCTTTCTAATCAATTTCCTTTGCTTTAATTAAAAATTCATAGGTTTTTAGTTTAGAAAAGAAATCAGTTTGAACAGCCATTCCCATTTCTCTCCACTCTGAACTATTTGTCTGTATCCATCCCACACCATTTGAGGCTCTGAAAGTGCTCTGACCTCCCTTGCTGGTATCCCCTCACAACTGGAAAAGAGTATTTTCAAGATCAGTTGAGAAATAAAATCAATGGTGATTTTGTTCAGTTTATTTCACAGTTGTTAATAAATGTCATGTATTGCTTTCATGCTCAGAAAAATCAAGATGTTTTTAATCAAAATGTGTATAACATGGGTATTCGTAAATAACAAGGGGAGGGGGCTGGAGAGAGGGCTCAGTGGCTAAGAGGTGCTCTTCTAGAGGTCCTGAGTTCAATTTCCAGCAACCACATGGTGACTCACAACCATCTGTAATGAGATCTGTTTCCCTCTTCTGATCTGCAGGCAGACATGCAGGTAGCATGTTGTATGCATAATAAATAAATCTTCGCAAAAAAAAAAAAAAAAAAAAAAAAGTGAAGAGGAAAAGCATGAAATGCTTTCCTCCCCAGCCACTCTGAGTCTCAGAACTGACATCAGGGATTGGCTGAAACACCCACCTAACCCCATCGCTCCCTGGACCACCATGTCCAATCTATGGCAAACTGACACAGAAAAGAAGGTCTCAACTCTGTAGGCTGCCCCTTTGAAACCCAGCTGACCCTGCGTTTAGGCATATCTCTGAAAATCTTTGAAGCCCAAGCCAATATTCTGGTAACATTTCCAGAATCCCTATAGTATTCACAGAATCTCACTCACCACCATTCTAAAACAATAAAGCAACAACAACAAAAACCCAAGTCATATATTACATTAAGGTATCTCACCAGAATGCAAATTCTTCAAGATAAGGGAACCTTTATTTTTACCTATGGTGCCAAATATGGAAAGGTCTACACAAAAGGTGTGTAATGAACACTTCTTGGATGAACAACATCAAGTGACAAAAGATAACACTGGGCCAGTGAGGTGGCTCAGTGAATAAAAGTGTTTTGTGGTAAAACCTGACTAGCATTGTGGCACACAAATGAACACAAAAATCAATGGTTATGAGCACCTGCTGCTATTGCAGAGGACCCAGATTTGATTCCTAGCACCCACACAGCAGCTCATAATTTTCTGTAATCTCAGTTCCAAGGGATCCAACATACTCTACTGACTTCTGCAGGCACCAGGTACACATGGGGTACATTTACACACATGCAGGCAAAATACCCACACACATAAATAAATCTTTAAAGAAAAGGAGGAGGAAGGGCTGATTTAAGGAGACAGACAGACAGCCATCCCCAGACCAGACAGCAGGAATTCCCAACCTGTCGTGGTGACAACTTTCTGCACAAGGACTCCTGCCCGCTGCAAGTAGTTGATGGGAAAGTTCATGGATGGATTTGTGCTGGAGGCAGAGCTTACACTGCCACTGAGTGGGACATGCCGGGGCATCATAGGGATGGGGGTGGACTGTACAGGACGAACACTGGCCACAGGCTTTTCATCACCCTTCAGTGTTGGTTGCCTGCAGGAAAAAAAAACAAGCACATTTACGGAGTTGGGCAGTATAGCCACTAAGCTACTATAGATGCCATGCCCTGCATGCTTAGCTATTGCTGAGAGAAGCAAGCATTGGAAGAATATGTAGAGTCTAGTCTATTCTAAGGAAGCCTAGAGGCGTGACCAAAATACAATGGCCAAGAAAGTTCATTCCCAGAGATAAGCAGTCAGATACCTTTCAGGGATGGAAAGTACCATCTGTTTTTCTAGAGAGTAGACCATCCACACCAGAAACTAGATCTAAAGGGAAGATTAGGTGATGCAAAATATAAAAAGGAAGGGCAAGCTCTTGTTACCACATAAGTTGAAATCCAAAGGGCAGAATTTATGCTGACTCATCTTTGTGATGCCTCATGTTCAGGGATCATTGATCCCAACTTCCAGTCTTTACTCACTCTCTGATTCTCTCACACATACCTTAAACATCTGAGTTGTATAGATGCCCCTTCTCTACTCCAAATTACTTTTCAAGATGCTTCTCTTGGCTCCTATCTGGGTCAGTCTCCATAGTGTCTCTCTAGTTATGACCACCGCACAAAAGCAGCAGCAACCAAAGCCCCTGCACAAAGCCAGACTTCTACATGACAGTACTACAAGCAGAGAGAGATTTTGGTTGTGCATCTCTTTCTAACAAAATATCACCCGTGGCCAGTGGAGAATCCTTCCTGGTTCACCTTTCAACTAGATGGTGGTACATGGTGAAGTATATAACTCCTGATTCAAGGTATTTCTCTCTCTACCTGCATGTCTGTCTGCATATCTGTCTGTCTGTCATCTCCCACCTTCAACCCCTATGTTTCGTCTTCCTCCTACCGCCACCACTTATGTACTGCTGGCTGGCCTCAAACTCACCAAGGATCACCTTAAATGTCTCCTCCTGCCTCTACATCCTGAGTGCTGGGATTACTGGCATGCACCACCACATTTGCTTTTCCGATAGATTTGTGAAGAAGCTTCCTTTTGCATTTAGAAATTTATTACACTTGTTGACATTTCCTACCTCAAGACATCTGACCACCCTGTGCCTTTTCCTCCACTTGATTTGGAATGGCTCTACTGATTCTTTGTACATAAACGCACCTTCCAGGCATGTGTGAATGCTCTGCACATAGTTAATTTTCAATAAATAATGAAGGAAAAAATTATTATTATTGTACATGCATGTATCTGATGTGTGTATGTTGGTGCATGCTTGCCAAGGCATGTGTGTGGAAGTCAGAGGGCAGCTCTATGCAGAGTCAGTTTTCTCCTTCCACTTAAATGTAGGTTCCAGGAATTGAACTCAGGTCCTCAGGCTTGCATACAGAGTACTCTCACCAACCCTACCTGTCAATATCTGTCTGTATCTGTGACCTTGTGCATGAGGAAGATACCCTCTTGGGTTGGCATATACATTCCCATGTGACTTAAAGCTTGCCCTGTAAAACAACCATTTTATACCATTCTACCAGAAGGGCTCTGCTGAGTGGCAAAATGAGCAGGTCATTTCTCCAGCCAAGGTCATTAAAACTAGAGTCATTCAGAACACTTGTGCTGCTGAGCTGCTTTGACATCTGATTCTAAATCTAAAGCAGGACCTTCTTTTCATAGCAGCCAAAGAGCAGGCTATACATCCTGCCTTTGGTTAAAGAAGAACTGAATGGCAGGAATTTGGGTCTAGACCAGCCAGACCCTCTCCCTTCAGTAACTCACCAGTTCCTCTGACTGAAGGCAGGGATGCTGGTCAGGCTCTGGTCACTGGCAGGGTAATACTGCGCATACGATGGGCGAGTATAGGGTACTGATGTGCGCTTGTCCTCCTCATAGCTTTTCTTTGCTGCTTTCTTCTCAGCTTTGGTCAGCTTGTGATCCTTTCGGTTGAGGAGCAATGACTCGTGCTCAAAAGGCTCCTAGAGACACAGGACATCAAGGTCTAATTGCCAGTCTTTGTGCAAATACAACTGATGTACAGTGAGCCTTACTTTGGAATCAAGAAGAGGTTGGTTTTCTCCAACACTAGCAAAAATCCTGTTATATGCAAGCAGGTTCTGTCAGGAGTGGAGTTCATAGGCTGGTGAGTGGTGCCTTGATGACCCAGGTTCAATTCCCAGAATATACATACAGGGAGAGAGAGAACTGACTCTGCAAAGTTGTTCTCTTTACCTCCACATGCATGCCGTGGTGGATACCCACGTGGGCACATATGTAAACACACACACAGTTTTCAAAAATTTAGAAAGGGCTAGAAAGATGACTCTGTAATTAAGAGCACATACTATCCTTACAGAGGACACAATTTCAGTTTCCTCACAACTTCCTATAACTTCAGCTCCAGGGAGATCCAACACCTCTGGGCAACACAGGACCTGCACTCACATGCACATACCCACAAAGACACACACATACACAAAAACTAAAAGTAAAAATAAATCTTAAAAATAAACAGTAGAGTCCACAACTCTAACCTAGTATCAGTTTCAAATGCCCAAGTTTATATTCCCTACTAGAAAGAATAGAGTGCAGAGAATTCAACTGCATTCAGAACTTCCCCCTCCTTCTGTTAGGAAGATTCACAGTGGTCAGATTATTGGACATGGCCGACTAAGCTCAACACTCCAAAGACTAGATAAGTGGTGGAAGTAGGCGGGGCCAGCAAAAGAATCACGTCACTCCCAGTTGTGCATGAAAGACCACTTCAGAAGGAAGCAGGTTTGCCAAACAAACCTTCACACTGAGTATGCCATACCAAACCAAGGACTTCATACATACCAGGTACTTACCTTGGTGATGAGGTGAGGGTATTTCAGACAGGCAAGCTGCAAGACTGACTCCTTGATCCCCTTTATATCCAAAGATGTTTGGGGAGCTGGCTCCTTCTCAACAAAGTGAAGCAGGTTTTCCACTTCCTTCCGGGTGAAGTTCAGCATTGGGTTTAGATCATCCACTACCCGGTCTAGAGGAAGCAGGTAAAAACAAAGCCAGTACACGTCAAAGAAGACTGAAAACACAACTCTATAGGTCAGCAGAGAGAAAGTGGCTTAACTGACAATAAGGAAAAGTTGGCATACAAAAGTCAAAGGACAGGCCGAGGGTCCTGGTAAAAGGGGAACATCATAGAAAACTACTAACTCCTCTTATTAAATTTACTTTCCACAATGAGGCTAGTCTCCTTAATGGTCTGAATTAGAAGGATATGACAGGAATTTCTGGCATTCTATGATTCAAAGGCTATCTGTGTTCCCATGCCCTCCCCTCATACCCTTGATCCCTTCTTTATAGGATAGCAGCTGGCATAGAAGTATATCTGAAACAGCCTGAAAAATGGCCCACCTGACATGCCCTGCTTGGAAATCTGCCGGTCATAGATCTTCTTTTCAAGAGTATAATCAGCCACAAGGCGATAGATGTGACAGGGCTTTTTCTGGCCATAACGGTACACTCGACATACTGCCTGGGCATCATGGCAAGGGTTCCAGGAAGCATCAAATACCACCACTCGGTTGGCACCAATCAGATTCACACCCAAGCATCCGGCCCTTGAAGACATAAATCAACAGCCATAAAGCCCTTAGTCTTAAAGATGGTTTTCTAGTAAGCTCTGCTTTGTCTTAAGCACAATAAACTCAAGAATTTTATTCTCCTAATAAACACTATGATTGCTCCTCCAGTGTGCCCCGAAATCCAACAGTTCTATAGCTCTCCATTCCTCTGTGATAAAGTCCTACACAGTAGCTCCAGAGTTCTTTCCTTTAGTGAGTAGAAATGTCTGTACATAAAATGTTTCTGGTGTTTTCACTCTCATACCTAAGGGGGATGACAGACTCTTATCTACTGGGAGCAGCCCATAACCCTATGATACCATATATGGTGGTAGAGGCAGGAAGGTCAGGAGACAAAGACCAACATGGACTACATGGGACCTTATTTCAAACAAACCAGTGGAAAAGAACCCATCCACTGTTGAACACTGTTGGCAGAAAGCAACAGAGCCTTTAAAGTAGTTGCCATGAAACAGAAAACATCAGTCTTTTACAGCTATACTACACTTAAGATTTATTTTTCCTTTTGGTTTGCTGTTCTGCCTTGAGGCAGGACTCACTGGTAGAACTCAGGGTAGCCTTAAACTTAAAATTCTCCTGCCTTCTGATAGCTGAGATTGGCCACTTCTCACCTTTTAAAGCATTTTTATTTACACTAACATCAATTCCTAATGTAATAAAGCACTCCTGAGAGAAAATCTAACTATAACAATTATTAATGAAAGTCTCAAAGAACTTTATGACACTATGATGACTATCTTCATAATAACTTTCCCTGGGATCCCCTGACCTCAAAAAACAATCACAAACCTAAGTAGACCTCTTCTGTAATTTAGAGGAGCCTTTGAAATACCTGCCCAGGTGGCAAATTGCACGAACACCCTCTTACAGACTCCACTCACCTTGTAGAAAGAAGGAACAGCCAGGTGGTGAGGTTGCTGGGATCATTGAACTGATTAATGAGCCGCTCTCTCTCAAAGGCAGGGGTGCTACCATCTAGCCCTAGGAAGAAAGAAAAACAAACAAAAAAAGCATAGATAAGAGCAGAGAAACTCAGCAAAGTCACTGAACAATGTTTTTTAAAGGAATTTTTTAAATTGCATCTCTCTCTCTCTCTCTCTCTCTCTCTCTCTCTCTCTCTCTCTCTCTCTCTCTCTGTGTGTGTGTGTGTGTGTGTCTGCCTGCAGAGGCCACAGGCATCAAATTTCCTAGGAGCTGGAGCTATAGGTATTTGTGACCTGCTTAACATGGATGCCAGGATCTGAATTCTGGTCCTCTGCAAGAGCAAGCAGTATGAGCTCTTAAGCACTGATCCATCTCTCCAACACTGCAAATGTATTTAAAACAAACAAACAAACAAAAACATTAACCCACTGGACAGACCATGGGTCTATGATGAAGCCTAGACATCAGCACTATGAAAGTATACTCAAGTAACTCTCACATGTGACACAAAACTATAAAATAAAGCCAGGGATTGGTGGTACATGCCTTAAATCCCAGCACTGGGAGGCAGAAGTATCTACGGATCTGAGTTTGAGATCAGCCTGGTCCACAGAGAGAAACCCTGTCTCAAAAACAAACACAAACAAACAAAACCCAAAACAACAATAACAAGACCTATAAAACACATTTTTTCTCCTCTAGTGAATTCTAAGGCTGGCATAAGACTCACCTATGGAACCTAGGAAAGACTGACTCACTCAGCTTTATATTTGAGGCTCGTGGTGAGTGCAGGAACAGCCAGGGCTTTGTGTTTTAATGTGGGCAGTGTTCTTCCTCCATTCCTCTCCCTTGAGAGGGTTTGTTCTTTTTAAACAGTGTCACTATATAGTCCAAGCTAGCTTTCACCTCAGGGTCATCTTACTCTAAATACTGGAGTTACAGGTATATGCCACCAGGCCCAGCAAGACACTGGCTTTTTTATTTTAACCTCTTGATGTTAAGAACTTGCCATTAAAAAGAGAAGGAGCAGGAGGAAGAGGAGGATAAGACCCAAAAAGGTCAGGTGTGGTGATCACAACTTTAATCCCAGCACTTGGGAAGCAGAGGCAAAAAGATCTCTAAGAGTTAGACGTCAGCCGGGCCTAGTCCACATAGTCTCAGGCCAACCATAGCTACATATTGAGACTCTGTCTTTTAAAAAAAAAAAAAAAAAATTCAAAAGAAAAGAAAAAAGAAGAAAAGGACTTGAAACAGCGTTATTCATTAAGAACAAAAAGACAACCAGGTAGTGGTGGCACATGCCTTTAATCCCAGCACTCGGGGAAACAGAGGCAGGCAGATCTCTGTGAGTTCGAGGCCAGCCTGGTCTACAGAGTGAGTTCCAGGATAGGCTCCAAAGCTACAGAAACTCTGTCTCAAAAAAACAAAACAAAACAAAAAAGCCAAAGGTTCACAAGTGGGAGAAACTATCACCTTCACTTAAGAAGCAGCATAAGTAGAGAGGAGGGGTAACACCTGTCAAATTGGGGGAGGACAGATCAAGGGTATGAGATACCAGATAGGGAACTGAACTGCTACTCTTCGAGGAAGCAGACATTTTAGCTGTCTGGCACTAGTGTTTTCAGTTAGGACCCCAACTTACTTTCCAATCTGAGTTTTGCAATACAGAAGCACAGCTCACCACTGTCTTATTGGACAGTCCTATAGAAAACACAAGCTCTGAACCTCCATTCTCTAAACTATGTCTTTAGGCCAGTGATTCTCAAAGGGTTATTTCTCCACTCTCCTACCCCCATAGAACAATCTGGCAATGACTGGAGGCATTTTTAGTTCTCAAAACTGAAGATGCTACTGACATTAAGTTATTAAAAAAAAAAAAAAATACAGATTCCACTGAATATTCTTACAGCCAAAGTCTGAGCCAAATGTCTACAGGGTAGGGTCAATATTTCTCAGCTTTTACTTTTTTATTACCACTCACTTTTAGATATTTTTCTTAATCACACCATGTCTTCTATGAAATATTAATACTATTGATAAAATGTATACATGGTTATATACACATCTGAAAATAGGGGTTCTTCTCCCCCCAACATATACATTCCCAAATTTTTCATCCCCTTGGGGGTGCTTAGCTCCCCCATAGAGAAAGTATGATCTAGGTTTACACTCACTCTGACCTGGATGGATCATTAGACCACTGTGATTCTAAATCTCCCATCTTCCCTCTAAGACTCCTCTGATGCACCCTCCACCTCCCCACCTCACACACAGTGACTCCACCCTCTTTAGAACCCAGCTTTAAGCCAGGCATGGCCATACATGTCTTTAATCCTAGTACCTGAGCCATCTTTCCAGGCCTAGTAGTGGTTCTTTCTTAAAAGCTACCTTTCAGTAACTTCCTATTTCTTGGCTAATCACATATTTCTATACACTTGAAGAATAATGGGAGTTGGAGAAGAGAGAGAGAAAGAGGGAGGCCTTAAATAGATCATGCCAAGACTCCAGAAACAATGCAGCAATAAACTCACGGAAGTAGCTGACATTTCGGACCCACTTCTGTGCTCCTTGACCCTCGGCACCAGGCAGACAGGGCACGTCTCGTTTCCCTAGGAACTCCTCGATGAGAGCCAAGGTGGAAAGACTCTGGCTGAAAGGGAAGAAGTCATTCAGATGGCTCCCACACCCCAAGTAACAAAGAGCATGTGCAACCTTCTAAACAGATGGAACTCCACCAAGAACAACCAAGGATATCCTCCCTAACCCAGAATGGGAGCCATTATCCATATACTTATTACCACTAACCCATAAAAACAAAAAAGACAGAAAAACAACCAACCAAACAAAGAAACAAAAACTCCACTATTTCTCCGATTCCTTAATCTCTCCATTGAAAATTCTGGGGTTTAACTCAATGCTCAGTATTTGGAAGTGAGTCTAACTGTGGGCCACAGGCAATCTTAAGTATCTTACTATGGAGATCCATCTGACTGTTTTCAAAACAGTCAGAGAGCTGGGTTCTTGAAAGGCAGTATGTAAAATCAGGGGACAAGTTTGAATCACTACCAACTGTCACAGATGAAAGCTCTCATCTGATGCTCCCAAACTAGTCTTTGGGGCACAATGTGGCCAGAAGCAATCCACTTGTATATAGTCCCGTTTCCTTGTATATAGTCTTGATGAGACTCAAATTTCCAGCCAAACCTAGAGTGTGATGATGGTGCAAACCAGGACACTTACTTGGTCTTTTATATGCAAAACATTATTTAAAAAAGGGGCAGGGGAGCAGGATAGAAGGGTCAGCAAATGTGCTCTATAAAGGGCAAAATGGCAAACATATAATCTTTTTGCTTGTTTTTTGGTTTTCTGCTTGTTTGTTTTGTTTGAGACAGGGTTTCTCTATATAGCCCTGGATGTCCTGGAACTCAGAGATCCAGCTGCCTCTGTCTCCCAGGTGCTGGGATTAAAAGCCACCACACTCAACTAACCAAATACACTCTTTATTCTTTGTATTCCTTTTTATAAGACTAAAGTGTAAAACTAGTTGGGCTTAATATTCTCACCTTCACAGGAGGCTGAAGTAAGAGGAACACAAATTCAAGGCCAGCCTAGGTTCTGGAGTAAATTCAAAACCAATCCAGGGAACTTACTAACACTATGTTTCAAAATTTTGAAAAGTAATGCCAGGGGTGTTGGCACACACCTATAATCCCAACACTCAGCAAAGAATAAGACATTCAAACAGCCTGGTTTTTTGAGTCTTATCTCTGACAAGACAGTTCAGCGCATACAGGCCAAGCCTAATCTCAATCTGCTAGAGTGCTTGCCTAGCATACAGATGGTGCTAGGTTCAGTTCCCAGCACCACAAATTTAAATAAAAATCCTAACCATAAATAAACACACAAATAAATGTTTAAAAAAATAAGTAAAAACTAGCCAGGTTTGGTATAGGCCATAGTCCCATATAACAGATCTCCAGTGTAACACATGGACTTAAATCCTTTGGGGAGGGGAGACCTGGGCTGGGTGTTGGGATGAAAGAAAGCCCCACCTCTGAGTGTCTGGTTACAGAGCACTGGAAAAGGCAAGGTGCAAGTATGAAGTTAGACAGTCTTACTTCATGGGTGCTGCATTTATCCTTCCTAGAGACACCAAGCTTCAACTGAGAATTTCACTTCTTACCTGAACACAAGGATCTTGTCCCCAAGCTTCACACTTTCTTCAATCAGGTGAAAAAGAAGTACCATCTTGGGAGAGTTTTCTAAGACCCCAGTCTGGTAATTAGTCAGGAGATCCTTGGCCTGCAAAAGAAAAGATTGGAGCAGGTCCAAGGTCGGATGAATAGAAACACAATTACCTCTGCTAAGGCAGTGGCCTGCTGAGTAACTTTACTGTTCTTTGCACAGGCCCAGCAGTGTAGTGGACTATGTACACTAGTCTTCTCTAGGTTGGTCATCACCATCCCTCCTCAGAAGCAGTTTATGGCTACTGAAGGCTCTGATTTGACTCACCCATTCATATGTAACAATGTTATTGCCTCGCTCCTGGAAAGGGTTAAAGCCAACTCCCTGCAGGAACTTGCTATTGGTCGCTTCTCCCATTGAGGAAGCCAAGGTGCTATCTTCTCCCTTGACTTTTGTGCCATGTGGTGGGCAACGGGCACTGGTCCCTGCTGAGCCAAGCTCTTCCACATCTAGGTCCTGCTCATTGGCTAGGTTTTCCTTCTGAAGGGCTTCATACAGAACATCAGGGTGGTTCCAGATCTAAAGTTAAACAAAGGAAGAGTATAGACCAGAGACCATTCCAAGGTTGTCCCCAGGAGTATGGAAACACGCTCAAACAAACAGCTGCTACAGCTCAGATTGCATACCCAGAATTAATGACCCAAATCTTTCATAGTCCAAGAGTGTGCGATTTCACTGTTGGCTCTGATGACCATGACACATTAATGGGAAATGCCAGTGTGTTTGGTATATGATCAGAAAGGGTGTGTCACAAATATTTTATTCTTAACTCAAACAGGCAAAGACTGTTTTATTTTCATTGTATGGCTACATTCAGCTACTACACAAAACAAAATCCCTCCCTATGTTTAAAAAAAAAAAAGATCTGACTGATAGATGACCAATCCTATGCGATTTCAGGGATAATTCCTAAAAAAAGCTGAGAATCCCTGGCCAAGGGGAAAGAAGGAAGGACTCCATAACCTGGAGTACTATCACAAGAGCACTTTTGCTTTTGTTTCTTGGCTCTGGTCAGGACAATGGCTTCAAAAGCACTATTCTGAAAGCCATGTGTCATGGTACTTGCTTATAATCCACAAACTTGGAAGACTGTCAAGAGTTTAAGGCCAATCAAGACAACATGGCAAAACCCTGTTTCAAAAGACAAAAGAAAATTCTGGAATTCCATCCATTGCCAGGTATGATGGCACATACCAGTAGTCCCCACATTCAGAGGGCTGAGGCAGGAGGATCTGAGTTCTAAGACAATCTGGTCTATATAGTGAGACTCTAAATACGACTGAAGAAATATCACCTGACCCCAGAGGTATCTCTTCAGTAGACTTACTAAATAAAGTAAGGGGAATCAGGAACAATACCCAACATCTGCCAAGAATAGAACCAGAGACACTAAGTTAAAGAAATAGGATCAGTAGCAGGGATGAGAATGATCTCAATCTATTAAATACAGATCAGACAGAAGGTACTTTGTATAACTTCTTTTATGTTCTACTTTTTGGAGGCAGTGTCTCCCTATGGAGCTCAAGCTGTCCCAAATCACTATGTTCCTGCCTCACCCTCCTGATTGTTAGCATTATAGGCTTACGCCACCAGCACCAGCCTCAGTCACCTAGCAATAAAAAAAGAAGAAGAAGGAGGAGGAGGAGGAGGAGGAGGAGGAGGAGGAGAAGGAGGAGGAGGAGGAGGAGGAGAAGGAGGAGGAGGAGGAGGAGGAGGAGGAGGAGGAGGAGGAGGAGGAGGAGGAGGAGGAGGAGAAGAAGAAGAAGAAGAAGAAGAAGAAGAAGAAGAAGAAGAAGAAATATCCCATAACAGTCATCCATCACCCTTCTTTTCCAAGGGAAAAAGTCAGTAAGAAAGGATGGTTTCTGGAGTTCAGCACAGCAAACTATGCAGCAGCTGTGTTCCTAAAAGAAGCACAGAGCATACTGTATGAGCAACCCCAAGAAGTTTTGGAATTGAGGCAGCTCTTCTCACTTTATACTCTTTCTTCACCAAGGATTCCCACTAGGAGTAACACCCTAGTAGTAGTGGCAATTGTGTGCATGCTTAGTTCTGAACTATCTTCCATGAGGCTCCCACTCACCTTGCAACACACGCAGAAAGCCTTCAGAGGGTTCAGCCCCAACCAGCCACTGCTACCACAGTCCCGGAAACGGTCCATGAATTGTGTGTACAAATCTCGCTGGATCTGAGAAAGCCGCACCAGGATCACATTCTCTTCTTTGGCAGGGAGGTGAATCTTCAACACAGTATGGCCTCTCCTACGGAGGCAGGGAGATTAGACATGGCCTATAGGAAGCGCAGCCAGGAACTGTAGCCAGGATGGGTCAGTACATGATAAAAACAAGATCTTGCACTCTTGCCACACTGTCTTCTAGAAATGTCTCAACATGCAATGCATCCTTGTGTTAGAGCGGGGTGGTTCAGACAAAGTAGCCTGTCCCAAATCATGACTAACTGGGTAACTAAGGCCAAAGAACTCTAGGTTCATGCCCCAATTCAGGGATGCCTCTCTGACCTTTTCCACATCTGTCATCCTACCAGAAGGAAAAGAACTATTTTAGGCTAGCCTACAGTACATCAACTGGGATGCTGAACCTGGCTGGTAAAGCAATATCCTAGAATCATATTTATTCTTTTCTTTCATCAAAGTCAGCAGAATGCTGGCTCAATTTTTTTTTTTTAAAAACAAGTTATAGCAGGTATTTTTTCAGCAACTTTAGATAACACTGGTTTGAGCTTGCTATGTAGCCCATGCTGGCCTCCAACTCAGCTACCTCATCTTCCTGAGTGCTAGGAGACATGTGCTACCACATTCAACAAAGACAACTTTTGAATTGAGTGCTTATAGGCCAAACTTTCAGAGAATAGAGACAGTGCACCCATCACCTGCTAGTTATTCAGGATCAATTGTTGCTCCACTAGGAAGAGCCCTCCAGTGATGACATCTCCCCTTCATAATAGCTTTGGCATGACCTCTATCCCTCTAAGGATTGAGAAAACAAGGTCTCACCTCTGCACAAAGCCCTCCAGGAGGCTGTGCAAAACATGGCTCCGGTAGCGCATGAGGCGGACATCCTGAGGTGTGCTGTCAATACACTGCCCGTTCAGGATAGGGCGTTCAAACATGTTGCTGAACTCCTGACGAGTACCAAGGAAATCTGGGCGCACAAAGTCCACCATGCACCAGTACTCAATGAGGTTGTTCTGTAGAGGGTACCCAGTCAGCACTACCCGCCGACGAGAACGTATGTTCTTCAGAGCCTGTGAGGTGCTGGCTTGGCAATTTTTGATGCGGTGTCCCTCATCACAGATCACCACATCAGGACCAGGGCGGCATAAGGCCTTCTCAAACTCTAAGGAGGGAAGAGGATCCGGAGTCAGAGGGTGAGAGGGCCTGCTCTTAGTCAGTAATATGACAAGTAGGGGAGAGCCCTGGAGGAGACAGAAGGAATGAAGGAAGCAGGGAAGCAAGAGTCAGCCCCATTGGTAAAAGGGAACCAGCCAGACAAGCTCTAGGTGTTCAGTGGGGTGCTAACCTGGCCAAAAACTCTTGCATTCATGTCTTCTTATCCCCATTCTTTGCCTCATTATACTTATTCACTTTAAATTTATCTTTTTCAAACCAAAAGTAAAAATTACTTACATCCCTAGGGCTTAAGTCAATTGGAGAACAGAGAGGGGGCCTAGCATTAAAAATATGTCTGAGTGAAATCCATGGAAAGAACTCAGACACCACAGTGGGCTCTTGCCATCAGGCATTTTGGGTCCTTCTGAAGGTTGAATGATAGGAGCTAGTTAAGGACAAGGTCTTCTCATAATTATTTCCCAGTCACTGCTAAATGGCATGTTCATCACAGCTACCATAGAAGCAAACGTAGAACAGACATAATCTCACAGAATAAAAGCTTATTTCTCAATGGACAAAGGCTCCTTAAAAAAAAAAAAAAAGAATGGATACCCATAGCTCAGTACATCTCTTATCCTCAGCAGAGAAGTTTCTCCTGAGAGAGGACAATAACCACGGAGACCCAAAATGGATCAACATGTAGACACACATGCACATACCAGGGTCTTTGTGGAAGAGAGGGTAGAAAGATTGTAAGGGGCAGAAGCGGTGGGTAACTTCAGAGAGTCAGTATTTTCTGGACACCACAGGGCAGCTGGACATAGGGACTCACGGTTATCATGACAGCATGCATGCACAGCAAGTTCAAGCCAAGCACACTAGCTGAGGAGCTACTGGAATTCGGCAGCTGCTGAGAGAGGCAGTCAGTTTTCTTTAATATCACCCCTAGAGGGCCGACCACACCCACTCCCAAGGGCAACATAAACTGAATTTGAGCTGCTGGGATAGAAAACTCAAAAGTTGGATGGGTAGGGGGGTGAGAGTGGAGAGGGCAGGTCTGTGAGGAACTGGAGGAGGGGGAATATGATCAAAATATGAAATTCCTTTTTAAGTTTTAATTTTACTAGAGGTATTCGTTTTTATTTTATTTATGTGTGTTTGTATGTATGTGCAGCATGTGCATACTTGGTGGTTGTAGAGGTCAGAAGACAGCATCTGATCCCCTGGAACTGGGGTTAAAGATGGCTGTGAACCACCATATGGGTGCTGGGAACAACCTGGGTCGCCAGGAAGAGCAACAAGTGCTCCACTGAAACATCTCTACACCCCAAATATTATCATTATTACTACTATCATTTCAAAGACAGGATACAACTATGAGTAGCAACAGAGATTATTTCTTTTTATAAAGTCACAAATATTATTCCCCTTCTGTCTTTATATTAGCTTTAGAGGATTTTTTTTGTTTCTTTTGTTTTGTTTGTTTTGAGACAGGTTCTCACGATGTAGCTCTGGCCTGGAATTCACTATACAGAAAAGATGGCCTCAAACTCACAGAGATCTGCCTGCCTCTGTCTCTCAAGTGCTGGGATTTAAAGACATGCACCATCATGCCCTGCCCTTTTATGAATAATAAATATAAACCATTTACATTTTCTTAATACTTTCTTATAACATCTCTATGAAGTGGTAATGGCTGTGGTTACTTTCTCAACTGTCTAGTGAGTCAGAGACTCACAAAGACAGGGAGAGTCCTCTGAGCCCAGGTGTGACTTGCAGAAAATGCAGCACATTCTGAAAGGCTCTGGAGGTGGTCCCACCAGCTTCCTGGTTTAGGGTAACAATGTTCTTCACAGCTAACTGGTACTTTTGGAACACCTCCAGGAAAAGCCACCCACCTTTCCGGAACTCCTGCTGTCGATCTTCTTCATCCAGATCAATAATGACCGGGTGAGAGCGCTTCTTCGTTTTCTTCGGTCTACCTGTGGCAAAGGACTTCTTCAGTGTGAGCAGTCTGTACATTTCATACCCCATCAGCAGCACTCCACCCTCTGAAACCCAATCAGCCGTCACTTTAGCACGAGATGCCACTGTCCTGTAGGAATGAGAAGAGAGAACTATGAGCTAAGAACTGTTCAATAAAGATGGCTTTTAGTTTTCAAAAAAGGAAAACAGAAAGAATACATTGTTGCTTCTGCTGCTACTCAGGAAGAATTTTTTAATCAAAGCTGCACTGACTTACACTTGGAATGCTTTGTTGCCAAAGATTTCATTTGGCAGCAAGCACAAGTTGGACCAGCTACTCAAGGACTTTCCTAGTATCCCAGAAATCTTTATTTATACTGGACTGGATCATTGATGGTGACTAAACAGCAAGAATCAATAATTCAATGGAAGAAGGCCAAAGAACATGCTAAGCCCCTGAATGTATACCTACAATTATAAGGCAACATTCTAGACAACATTTAAGTGACTCACATGGTAAGCATAAGTCATGGGAAGAAAGCAACACTCCATACTTCACCTGATAAAAGCAAACCAAAAAGCCAAGGGAAGAGGCAATGGAGAACCAAAAACCCTTGGCAGTAACTCCGCTCAAGCCCCCAAGCCCCCTCCCTCACTGTTGCACTAACTAGATGTGAAGTGACAGTTCAGAAATCCAAGAAAGCAGAGCAGGTGACCAACCACCTGTCGGGTCACTCGGAGTCTCCTCACCCCCCAAAAAAGCATCCTTTGTAGAAAGGAAGCCTGCCTTTTTAAACGGTCTGTGCCAATGAGAAGAAAGGAAAGCATGAGTAGCGGGCTTGCACCAAAGTGTGCACTTCTCAAAGTTTTGAAGTTGTACTATTAAAGGTCAACTATGAACCAGTGCTTCAAAGAAGAGTCTAAAGTTCACTGTGGCATGCTGAATATTACTACAGTATACACCAGAAATGTGACTAGGCTGTAGATTATTTTATGTCAGAAAAGCATTCTAGAACAGAACAAAGAAACTTCAAACTTCCCAGGACATATAACACTCTCTCTCTCTCTCTCTCTCTCTCTGTGTGTGTGTGTGTGTGTGTGTGCGTGTGTAAGTGGGGAGCTAAGCAAGACAGAAAAGGGAAACATCAAGGATTAATAAGAATGTGGGAAAACAGAGAGACATACTTTAGTAGCCCCAGAGAAGGAAAAGGAATAAGACAGAGAAGACAAGGTAGGCCACCTACTTGTGTTCATCATTCAAGATATGAACTTTGAAGAACCTCGGCTGTACTTCTTCCGGCTTGCTGTCAGCTGGGAGGGCTTCAGGAGCTGGGAGCCACATGTTGAACTCTGCCAGCCAATTCTGAAGAGTATTAACCTATGGAAAGCCCAAAAGAGTTGGCTTTTATCTTAAAAACATTTTTATTTATCTTGTGTATGTACATGGAGGTCAGAGCACAACCTGCCACTATGTAGATCCCCAGAATTAAACTTATCATTTTTACCCACTAAACAAAGATGTTTCCTCACACCCAATGCGCACGCACGCGCGCGCGCGCGCGCACACACACACACACACACATACACACACACACACACACACACACACGCCTATAAGTTTTAAGGAATAAGCTCAGAGCTGAACTCAACAAACGTTTTAGTGGCCAGGGATGTTCAGAGAAGGGAGTTAGAACTCTTACCGGCACAATGGCAAGGACTGTTTTGGCTGGTGTGTGGCGGAAGAGGACATCAATGAAGGAGATCACTTGCAGAGTTTTCCCCAGACCCATGCTATGGGCCAGTATGCAGCCAAAGCCACTACTGGTCTTAAACCTTTCTAAAGACTCTACTAGGTTATCATATAGAAACCGGATCCCACCAATCTGACAAGAGACAAACAAGATAAATGTTAGAAACACTACCAGAGACCGGGGCTATACAGTTTTTCTTACTTGGGGATGGTCACTAAATAAGCTTGATGGTATGAGTGGACATGGAAGTTTCCCTGCAGTCATCTTGGAGAATATCCAAAATAGCATTGACCTTGTATAATGTCCCATATAAGTTAAAGAATCTTTAGTATCAATCTCTTGACAAGGCCTTTTTCATTCAGCCTGGCTACCTTGGGCTTAAAGAGCTGCCTCCTCTAGGCAACCCAATAGTTCTTTCTGTGAGAAGCCCAAAATTGAGTCAATGTCTGGCTGTGTGGATATTCACTCAATGGTACTAGTTCCAGGCACTAGATCAATATAAACTACTATGCTCTCAATTTCCTTGAAAAGCTGACTTTCGTAAATCTTCTGATCTACACACCTCCCACGCTTCTTGCTGATCCAACTGAAAGAAGCAAGATGGTGGTCAAGTGACTTTTTTGTATTTATTCCATTTTATGTGTGTGCACCTGGGTACATGTATGTGTACCATGTGATTACAGGACCTCATGGATGTCAAGAGGTATCAGATCCCTTGGAACACGAGTTATAGAACTGCTATGTGAGTGTTGGAAACCAAACCAGAGTCCTCTGTAAGAGCAGTGTGTGCTCTTAACAGCTGAGCCATCCCTTCAGTCCCTACATGATTTCTACATGACAGGGCAAACCTGAGGCATATCTCTTTTCTCTCCCTATATATTCATATTTGAAGGAATCTTCACACATCAACTGGATCAGGGCTTTCCAACAGCTACTCTTGGGAACCACCAAGTACTTTACAGGCTATAACAACAACAACAGGCAACGTTTGCATCAAGGAAAAGGGACTAGGACCAAGACTGGCTGTACCTGATGAGGTTTCACAGCCCGTGCCAACTGTGGGGCCAGGAAGACATTCTCCTCCTCCGGAGGGTGATTCAGGTTGACAAGGACCCGCCCAAGAGCATCATGCTGGTTTAAGGCATCATTCACATGGGTGCCACCCTTCTCTTCTTCCTCATCCTCCTCACTGACAGACTCACTGCTGTCCACAATGTGCAGAGTATCCTCTTCTCCAGAACTGAGTTCAATCACCTCTGAAACAGAAAAAAATGAAACAAACATCCAAGGAACAGGGTACTGCTGATTGTCAGAGCGAAAGGGCACAGACTTAGTAAAATTTGTTACCACTTACAAAACAAATGTTCTGCTTGGTTAGTTTTGGGGAGGTGATTTTTTTGTTCTTGTTTTTTGAGACAGGATTTATCTGTGTAGTTCTGGCTGTCCTGGAACTCACTCTCTAGACCAGGCTGGCCTCAAACTCACAGAGATTTACCTGCCTCTGCCTCCCGAGTGCTGAGACTAAAGGCGTGCACCACTGCCACCTGGTCAAAACAAATGCTTTCAAAGCCTCTCTCTTTCAGAACAAGTTAAGGTGACACAGGTGCTAAAGGTAGGCTCCAAACTAAATGAATAAAGAGTGAATTTTTCAAAAGTATAGCCAAGTCAGGATGGTAGTACATTTAATCCCAGCACTTAGAAGGCTGAGAGACAGGAGGATTACTATGAATTCCAGGCCAGGCTACAGTCTAAGACTTGCTCTCATACCCCCCCACCACCACCAAAGGGGGGGGATGGAGAGGAGGGAGGGTGTGAGAAACAAAGAAAGAAAAGAAAGGGAGGGAGGGAGAGAAAGGGGAAAGGGAGGGAGGGAGAGGGGAAAGGGAGGGAGGGAGAGAGGGGGGGAAGGGGGGAGGCACTGGCCAGGAGTAGATGCCCTCTGGCCTGACCTTACCATCTCGACTGCTTTTTTCGTCCTCACTGCCACTGCTACTGTCCAAACAAATGACTTCCTGGGCCAAAACCCGAGGCGGGAGTTGGGGACCATCACTTGCTCTCAAGACAATTTCCTCTAGAAAAAGAAAGATGGAAGGAAACACATTTAGGGCCACTGCAGTGGTTCAGCAGGTGAAGGTGCTTGCTTCCAAGCCTGCAGACTCTTAATTACCAGGACCCGCACACACAGAAGAGGGAGAAAGCCAATTTTTTTTTTTCCAGGTTGTCCTCTGGCTTCTACACATGTGCCACGATTCACAAAATGTGCCTCTACACAGGCAGACAGACATGCGGGCACACACACATGCACGCACATGCAATAAAACGCCCCACATGTAGCTCAATGTATTTTCCTGAGTGATCACCAGTGATCATCATCCTTTGCTGCTCTAATGGGGAATGGCTATTGAGAATAGCCTGGGAAACCTTTATATATATATATATAAAAAAATCCCAGCCTTTTTTCCAAGTTCCCTTTTCTGTTGGTTTTCACATTGTGCCATCCATCCATGTGACAACTAGTCCCCATCTCTTGCATGCTAAAGTCTAAAGCTATAGGGAAAACAGGAAGCCTCCATAAAATTAATCCAAGTATATCTGAATCTATTTCCACTTTGTAAATGACTGTGCACTCCCAACAGGCTAAGGGCCTCAGAATTCCTGAGAGACCACATCCAGATCTGTCTGGCCACTCTGAAAGCTGAGGCCTTTTTTCCTAGAACACTACACTGCTTACCAGGCAGGAACTCCAAAGGGACCGTAGGAATGGGGGCTGCATATTCTTTCCTCTGCTGTTCCAGGCGCTTTCTTCTTTCCAGTTCCTCCTGCTGTGCTGCTTTGGTAACAGGCTCCAACTGATCCTCCCGGAGTAGCTTTCTAAGCATTAAAGAGAGACGACCCTTGGGTTACCTTGAGATTTGGGCAACTAAAAAAGGAGATCACCAGTGCTGATTTCCCTTCAAATCAGAGAACTGCAACTTAGACAAGGAGTGAAGCTGGGTTTTTAAGGTGAGGGGGTAAGATGAGATGCCAGGGGGATTTTAAATTCAAATGGCTCTGTGCTACCATAAGTTCCTTATTATTTGACTTCCTCACAGACACACTGCCACTCAGACCCCCGCATATAAAAAGCCAAGAGTAAAGAATGGGGGAGATGTCTCAGTGGGTCAGAGAACTTACTGTGCAAACATGAGGACCTAAGTTAGGATTCCCAGCACCCACCTAAAAGGCTGGGTTTGGCCATATGTACAGAAGGCATAGAACATACAAGAAGGTGGGACCAGACTGTTGTGCTTGCTGACCAACAGTCACCTGGTGTTTCTCCTGTGCTGTTTGAAAAACATCAAGCTTTAGGTTCAGTGAGAGACTCAGTCTCAAGGGTATATATAATGTAGAGAGCAACAGAGGAAGATATTCAAAATCCTCCTCTGACCTCCATACATACTCTCACACACAAGTACACACACAAAATACATGCATGAACACCCACAAATAAATGAAAACTAAAAGACCAAAAAGTAACATAAAATAGTATGGTTCACAAAGCTGAACCAGTATTAAAAATAAAGTTGTACCAGTGATGGTGGCACACACCTTTAATATCATCACTCAGAAGGCAGAGGCAGGCACCTCTTTGAGGTGCCAATCTGGCTCATACACCAGGTTTATATGGGTGTGCTTGGGGGGGGGGGGTTAGGGGAAGGAGGAGACAGCCCAGTAGTTAGGTGAGCTTGCTCTGCAAGCATTAAGGCTTAAGTTCAAGGCTGGTCAATAGCGATACATGCCTTTAATCCCAGCACTGAGGAGGCAGAGGTAGGTGGATCTCTGTGAGTCAGCCTGGTCTATAATGTGAGTTTCGAGACAGCCAGAACTGTTACTCAGAGCAACCCTGTCTTGAAAAACAAACAAATGAACAAACAAAAAAAAACTTGAGTTCAGATTCTCTGCACTCATTTTAACCCAGGTACGGCTGAATGTGTATAATTCTACTATTGGGGGACAGTGACAGGATAACCTCAAGAGTTTCCAGACAAAAATGAGCTTCCAATTCAGTGAAAATTCCTGTCTCAAGGCAATAAGGTGGAAAGCAATAGAGGAAAATACTTTGATTTCCTGCTGTGGCCTCCACACATGCATGCACTGAGCCATAAACACATGAGTATTGGGGCACACACATAAACACACACACACAAACAAACAAATTTAAAACTGTTAGGTGGACAAATGGGGTAATAGGGATTCTGCATCATTATTTTCTGAGCTTAAAGCAATATTTCAAGTTTGCAGTGTGTGTTTTGAAAACTGTGGGGTGATGCCAGACATGGTGGCTCATACCTGCAATCCCAGCACTTAACAGGATGTGGTACAAAGATTACCAAAAGTTCAAAGCCAGGACTACACAGTGAGTTCCAGGGCAGCCTGAGCTACTGGGTTAGAACCTGTCTTAAACAAACAACTGAAGAACAACAAAAAGAAAAAGGGGAAATTATGTCATTTATCTCTTTTAGTAAAACAAGCTGTGACTTGGCAGAAGGAAAGGTTGCTGAGGATTTGAATAGTTAAGAAAGTTCTTGTTTGGTTTTCTTTGAGGTGAGTCTACCATCTGAAATTGAATTCCAAGAAGATGATAGCTCAGTTTTGTTGAGGATTTTATGTTGTCGCTGTCTGTCTAGTGATTTGTTTTAAACTTCATGTTTTGAGACATAGGAAACATAAGTCGGATGGCCCTACCATCATTGAACTGCCACCCAAGTCCTCGTAATGGTCAAGGCCCCTACACATCCTTCCTATGTTCTGTGCAGGTCAACGCAGTTCAACAGTGGGTCTAAACTTCACCTCTGTTCCCGGGTTTTTGTGGTGGTGGTTGTTTTGAGTCAGGCTCTCCTTAAGTGACCTATGCTGGTCTGAAACTCATGATTCTCTTGCCTCAGCCTTTTGAGTGCTGGTGTTACAGGAATGTGTCACACCATATGTCATCTTCACTACTAATAAGGATTTATAGTTGCACACTTTTCTTTATTGGAAGAGGACACTCTTCTATCTGCTATATCTAGTCTATTCTCTTCAATGCTCTTTACCCAGAACACAGCTCACCGTATGTTTCTTCTCATATGGGAGGGCTTCTGAGCTCTCTTCTTTTTGGGGTCTTCGGATGCTAGCATCTTGCCTTGGTGCCTAAGCTGCTCTGAAGGCTCAGACTGAGATGAGGTAGTTGAAGTGCACCGCGGCGGCCGCTGCCCATCTTCCCCCAGCTGGGCATGCTCAGTGCCACACATGCCTTCCAGGGATGGGTCTGGAAAAAGGGGGGGGGGGGGAAAGAAGTGGTTTACTGGGGATACGGGTGCAGGGAGAGTGGGTGGATTTTGATTTCAGACATTCCCAGGTTCAAATTTGAGCAGCTTATTAGAAGATAATCCTTTAAGGCAGTATCTCTCTGAATGTCGGTAGATGTACCTATAACATGAAGACAGTGATACTCATACTCAGGACTATATGAGGACTAGATACTGAGTGTACCTAGACCTAATCCTGACCAGTGAAGGGCACATAACAAATGACATCATCCATTTAGCAATATAATAGGAGTTCGGAGCCTTGCTGGCCTGAGAATACTCAGAGTTCTGGGTGTGGCAGTGCATGCCTTGCAATCCCAGGATGTGAGTGTTTGAGACAACTCACACTTACTTCTCTCTCAGTGCTTGGAGTAGTAACTTGTTCAACTCATCAGCCATTTAGCGAGGACTTACAAATGGCAAGCTCTGCTCACGATGTATCAAGAGATAGTTAAGACTCTTTCCCTTTAAAAGATACTGTGTTCTATTAAGAGATGGGCCATGTAGACTGAGACACAACACAGCAACATGTACCAAAAGAAGGGGCAAGTCACAATGTGGATGCTAAGAACTAAACTAGGTTCAATGTAAGAACAGCAAGTGTTTCTCCAGCCCTAAATAAGTTTGTCTTTTGTTTCTAAAGACTTGTGTGGGGGTTTCTCAGACTGATTCTTGACCTCCCCATGAAAGTAATGAAACAGAATGAGGAAATTTACACAGGGCAGCTGTGTCAATTTGCCCTATTGTTGTATATATAGCAGTTGAAAAGGCTGGAATCAAAGAAGATCATATGTATCCCTTAATGCCTGGAACTGTGTCCTTGGACCCATGACATTGTATATCAAAGCAAACCCTGTGCCAGTTTACCATCTTAATAACAATAAAGAGAATTATCTCAGAGGAGGAGCTGTAGTCAAAGTAGAACACCAAGTCTTTAGCTGCTCTCCCATATCTGTCCTCTCCAATTCTATTTCAAACAGCCCAAGAGAAAAGCCAGGCAATTGTTTGCCACTAAAAGAACTATCTTTCAGCCATGTGTAGTGGTGTGCACCTTTAATCCCAGCACTCAGGAAGCAGAGATAGGCAAATCTCTAAATTCAAAGCCAGCCTAGTCTACATTGTGAATTCCAGGACAGCCAGAGCTACATAGAGAGACATTCTCCAAAAAAAAAAAAAAAAAAAAGGAAAAACAAATAAAATAACTTTTCCTTTCAGCACCCTTCCTCTCAAAGACAGATGCATAGCATTTACACATCTGTTCAACCCACACCCCTTAATTCTTATCTCCTAAAAGAGAGAGTCCTCCATCCCACCTCTCCCCCACCCACTAAATAAACAGTTGCTTAGAGAGCAGCAGATCCCCTAGGAGGGGGATACTATTGTCAAGAGAACACCTACAAAGGTGGCTTATTGGATAGAAGGAAACCACTTGGCCTACTATACTTGCAGCTGAGCTAAGACACTTCAACTTAGTGTTTTTACTGGTTCTCTGGCCTGCTGGTACACAATGGCCTTGTTGTTTTCTTGCTGAGGTATACCCCAAGCCTAGATAATGACCTTTGGTGCTCTTCAAATCTTATTGTTTTGTTTCTATTTCACAAGCAGATTTATTGAGTAACGGTTTGGAGGAAGAGTTGGAAGCAAGGTTAAAGAGTAGGCAGGCAGGACAGAATCAGCACACAGAGGGCAGGTCTGCAAGGTCAGGCCCAGGGTCTGAAATTGATCTGCTTGCTGGGCAGGGACAACTTGCCAACTGTAGTTATTTCCTTGTTCTAGCTGCCATGCTTCTTCACAGGATGGGCTGTTCAGAGAGGGGAAAGCACAAACTGCCAGTCTTTCAGAATTACAAATAAATTTATCATCAAATATCCATCCCAAGTTGTGAGGCCTATTACTACTGTCCCGCAGGGGGCTGAATTTAACAATAGCAATTTTGAAATGATCAGATATTAGTCATAAGAGACCTATACTCAAACAAGAAGGTAAAGAACCCTAAGTTCTGTCACATAACAAATGTAATTAGTATCTGCATAGCTTAAAAGTCAAAGGCTATTACCACCCTGACTAAGATCATAGGTTCAGACCTGGGCACAAATACCCCTGAACTTTGTCCTTCACCTGAATGCCCTTAAACTTTCCCTTTCACTATGAGTAGCAATCACAAGTTATATAAACAAAGAACACTTGCATAAGCTTCTTGGGAATGAGTTATAAATACCACCACCATAAATTTAATTGGCAAACCTATGGCTTGGGCAGGGGAGGGGTGCAGAACAGGACACAGTACATTTCATTTGGTGAGTGCACAAATACATATACTTCCAGGGCCCACCCTTCAGCTGATTTCTCTCTTCGGCACTAGCGAGATTAGTGACCTCTAAGTCTTAGCTAATGGCCCATGATAAAATGCATATACCAGGGTCTGGTGTGGGAGCACACTCTATGTAATCCCAGTACTTGGAAGGCTAAGAAAGTGAAGATATCCTGGGCTACAAAGATCCTTCCTCAAGAAACAAACCAACAAAAATTATGCACACACCACACTCTATGGGCACCAAAAATTTACAACCTAATCTCAACACAACTTAGATTTCATTAAGTGTTTACAAAAATCACAAAAAACACAGAACTAAATTAAATAAGACCACATGGGTATGTATAATCAGTGAAATCTAGCCTATATAAAACTATACAGCCAGTAAGGCCTTTTCCTCTAGAAATAAACTTCAAGGAAAAATAATTAATGTTTATTTATATTTCCTTCTAGAAATATAAATAAACATTAAAGATATTTTTAAAGATAATTGAGGATTATATCAATATTTCATAATTCAAGGAACTACAATTTTTTAGTTTATTTGACTTTCAGCCATGTGTATGTGTGTATCTGTATGAGGATATGCTACATCCGTGTAGGTACCTGCACAGGCTAAGTGTCAGTTCCCCTAGAATAGGAGCTGCAGGCAGTTGTGAGGCACCTGACGTGGGTGCTGGGAACAAAAACCAGGTCCTTTGCAAGAGAGTTAATACTCCCAACTACTGAGGCATCTCCCTAGCCCCAGGAGCTACAATTTAAAAAAAAAAAAAAAGATTTGAATAGTGGTTCATGCCTGTAATCCCAGTAGGAGCAGGCAGGAGCAGGAAGCTTGCACACTACCAAATCTGAGGCCAATTTTGTCTACATGGTGAATTCCAAGTCAGCCAGAGGAATATAGCTAGGACCTTGTCAAAGAGTGGGGGGGGGGGGGAGGTTGTTTAAAAAAAACAAAACATTGTAATGTTAGGGATGGAAGATTGGAAGATAAATGCCAGAGTGGCTGGCTACTCAGAGAGCTGGAAACAGAGTTTTATCACTTTTATTACTGCCTAACTTTCCTAATTCTATCATATAAAAAATAATTTATTTTTAAATTTTAGGTTTTATTTAACTTTTGCAGGGCCAAGAGTAGAGCCTATGGTCTTAGGTATGCTAGGCAAGTGCTCAGTTGCCTACCTATAAGCAAGTGTCAATTTTAAAGTCAAGAGAAAAGGAAATTAAATGAGCACTAAACTCTAAACAACTTATATGTTAATTTCCTGACATATGTTAATGCATTTGCATATTTCATATAGTAATTAATGAGTATATATACACCTTTTTGTGTTGGGTTAGCTGCCTGATACACATAAATATTTCCTTCTTTGTTTTGTTTTGTTTTGTTTTTTCAAGACAAGGTTCCTCTGTGTAACAGCCCTAGCTGTCCTGGAACTCGCTCTGTAGACCAGGCTGGCCTCAAAGTCAAACATACACCTGCCTCTGCCCTCCTGAGTGCTGGGACTAAGGGTGTGAGCCATGCTTCCCAGGAATATTTCTTTTAAAACTTTGATTTTGTGCATGTATGTGTGGAGGTCAAAGGACAACTTGTGGGAGTTGGCACTCTCCTCCCAACACATGGGCTCTGAGAATCAGACTTGGTTGTCAAGCTTGACATAAAGCACACTCACCCACTGAGCCATCTCACTGGCCATATATAAATCCCTCATTGACAGAGAGTACACAGTTGCCATTTACATGGCACGCTGTAAGCAAATCACAGAATGCTATTTTCCTGCTGCTTGGGCATATTCTAATTTTACGCTTGCAACTACAGTAATGTAAGTATCTGTACATGTTCTCTTTTCCATCTATTTAATTTTACCATAATCCATCAAAGATCTGCAAATATTTTCACAAGTTAATCAGATAATAAATATTTTAGATTCTACAGGCAGTAAGGTCTCTATCAGATACTTTATCATTGCATCTCAAGAAGAAAAAACAACCCACACATAAACAAATGAGGGAAAGTGTTCCAATAAAACTTTATTTAAAAATTAGGCATAAAAAATTGTGAAAGGAGCAAAGTTAGAGACGCATACTTTCTGATTCAACACTTAGTACAAAGCTGCAATGGCAAACCTTGAGGCTTAAAGCACACATGTGCACTAAAAGAATAAGAAGTGGAATAAGTTGCCATAAGACTATTCAATGAGGAAATGACAATCACTCAATTACTAATGCTGAGAAATCTACAAGCAGAAGAAAGAAGCTGAGTATTTAACAAAGGCCGCATATAAAAACTGGGTCAAGCTGGAGGTGGCTGTGGTGAATGGCTTTAATCACACAACTCAGGAGGCAGAGGCAGGCGGATTTCTGAGTTTGAGGCCAGCCTGGTCTACAAAGTGAGTTGCAGGACAGACAGGGCTACACAGAGAAACCCTGTCTGGAAAAACACAAAAGGACTTGGAGAGTTAAAATAAAAGATAAAAAGGACACAAAGTTAGGAGAGAATGGGGGTAGAGCTAAGAGGAGTTAGAGGGAGGGCAAGGGGTGAATATGATCAAAATATACTGCATCCATGTATAAAATTTTTAAAAAATAAATTTTCAAAACACTGAAAGAAAAATTCCTATTCTCTTTAACTCTAAATCCATCCCATCA